TATGAATTTCCTGGTTTAACTTCAATGTTTAGGTTGCTGGCACTTAGCCTGGAAAATAATGGTGTCGGTACCTTGGTGATGGAATGATTAATGCTCACCACCACCTTCTCAAGGGCAACTAGGGATGGGCAAAAATTGCTGGCCAGCCAATGACACTCACATCCCACAAATGAATAGAAAAAGAAAAGACTGAGAAGATGGTTAATGTGAACCAGATCTTAACTTTTGAAAGTATAAAAAGCCTCATATGATGTCCTTGCCAATTCAGAAAGAGCACGAGGTCAGACTTTCCATGTTAGAAAGGAATAAATTAATCACCCATGAATGTTCACTGTTGACTTTTAGTTGTTATTGTCATTACTTTCTCAGGGCTAACTAATGGTTTCTATTAACATTGGGCACATAGCAGCTGACTGAACATTGCACATGCTAAATTACAGCTTATCATTTGGATTATGAAGTGTGGATTTAGATGTTTAAGCTTTACAGTTTAAAAGCAGCACCCCTTTGATATGCATTGCTAAATACAATCCAGCTGTACAATGCTTGTGGGGGAATAGTGTGGTTATTATTTTGATATATTCTTCTAAGAAGTGAGCTACTCAATCATCATATGTTCTCTCTACAAATACTGACTAGCCCACTGAGTTCTTGCAACATTTTCTGCTTTTACTTATCAGATTTCCCAAGAATTCCACATTTTGGTTTCTGAAGGCAAAAGTTAAATTAGCATGCTGATAAAGATTTTCAGCCCTCACTTTTAATCATAAATAATGCAGTTTTCAATTTATGAGAACAGTTTAGAATACCTAAGTTACTGTTAGTCCAGTAATAAATGCACCCTGGAACACCCCAAGACAACAGCAGACATGGTGGGCCATTTCAGAAGTTTTTAAATAACAAGAGCCTATAAGATTTTTTGACTTCACCCAAAGATATTTCCGACATTCAAACATTATCCAAGATAACATGAAAATGATTGTTTGAATTCACGATTCTTAAATCAGGATGAAGCTTAAATTCTTCAGACACTTCTCAGCATAGATTTAAAAGATGGATTCCCATCATATTTTTCCATTAGAAGATGCTTCCTTTTACAATTATGTGGTTAAACTCGGTCACCACCCTTTGTTCACAGGACAAGTGGAAATGCAAATGTATGGGCAATGTTTTCCATTTCCTAGAAGGGACAGCACAGGTGGCAAAAAAGGGCAAGTAATTGGGCAGAATGGCATCAGTCAGATACCTGCCAACTTTCCCAACACCTCATCAATCAAGATCTGGCATGAGGTCCATGGACAACCTTCTCAACCTCCTGCCAATCAATTCCTTTAAGTGATTAATGACCACTTAAGCTCTTAAGCCTCAAGCGATAACTGGATCAACTAACAGGGACAGTCCCGGTGCTGCTTCTGTCCCAGACTTCAGATCCTGCCCCAACACACACCCCATGTCCACATCCCGCCACACCCCTCCAAGCCGAGTTTGTAAACGGCTCACAAAGACTCCAGCCCATAACCCTAACACAGTAAGCCTCCAAGGCTCCTAGAACTTGGCTCTTGGTTATGGTGTACCCCACTCTCCCACACACTGACAATAACTCGCCATCTTGGGAGGTGAGAGAAGTGACTGCCTTCCTGGTAGGGTAACCATGGAGACCAGCCTGACACGTCAGAGTTGGGGGGGGGACTCCATTTGCCTCAGTCTTGACTCTTACCATTCTCTCCTGAGTTTCTCACTCTGTGACTTCCCCCCAATACAAAGCTGTCTCTCTCTAGTCCTGGTCTTCATGTCTGAGCAGCCTTGGCCTCTGATAACTCTAGTGTTTGTAACAAGGTCAGCCATGTGGACCTTATAGAGTATGTTAATCTGGTCCAATCAGGGAGCCCTGGCTGACAGATATAAACAGGAGTATCAGACATCCTGTTCACTCTGAGAGCTGGCTCTGGTGAAGCTGGATCAGTGTCAAAGACACTCCGGGTGTAAATAAAAGGTGACTTGGTGATGGGATACCGGTCTCTGCGGAGTTATTTCAACAATCCTCTGCAGCTCGCAATATTCATTAGTCTCTGATTGACTGGCAGCCCCAGATATGGCACCTGATAGATCAAGAAGCACAACCTACCTGTTTGCAATTGATCCAGCAGCCTTTCTTGCTGGAGGTGAGAGGGTCCTTACATGCAACATAACATTGTGCATTTGCCAGCAAGTAGAAGTTTGGTAAAATTTTCCTTCCCCATGAGACCGTACCTCTGAAATGATATTCATCTAAGCCCCAAACTCAGGAAAATAGCATGTCTAAATTAGCACTGATTGGTGGAAGACCTTTTTGATGAGAGACCCTTTTCTTCTCGTCTGTGCTCCTCCATTAAAGGATGGAAACTGCTGAGGAGTTCAGCATGATAGGCTCTATTCCGAGACAACACATCTAATGCCCATGCCAACAAAACATATAAACAATTTAAAATGTTGCTATAAGATGAAGCGGATACGAAAGTGTACCAGTTGAGCAGCAAACTGAGTAAAAGGAAATCTTGATTAATGAAGCCAAGGTGAGAAATCCAAGACGTCTTACTCGAACTTTGGTTGAGGACGATTGCTGACACTTGTCACCTTCCATAGCTTTCAATGTGATGGGGTAAAACTGTCCCTTGTTGAGGTAACCCATCGATTCCTCTCCTGGTTTCTGGTTGACAGATTTAGGTGCTTCCAGCATATATTCAAAATCCACCCTTAAAAATTGAGGGGAAGAAAGACTGAAAATACTAATACTGAATATTTTTCATTTTTTTAAAAACTAATAAAAGATAATTTTCCAATTTTATACTTCCTTTAGGAAGCTATGATTACTGGCAGCCTACATCAGAGATTTGGCTATGCACAGGTAACCTTTTTACAATTTAAATATGTGGCAGCAAAAGTATGAGGGGTTGAATGGCCTCATTCTATCTGTAATCTTCAATGTTAAATTCCTGTCAGATAATAGAAAATCAGAATAATATCTCCATTTCATTTTCTAAAAGAAATACAGTTATACTTTTATGCCTGTAATGTAGAAACTCAGAAAATGAGAAACCTTTATTAATTACTGTTTTTGAACTGTACCCTACTGGTTCCATTGAGGAAATTACATCAACTCCAATTAATCTCAGTTAAACTATGCCCAGAATTGTAATATTTCTTGTTTGTAAATGATAAATAAATCCCAAAGGAAGCATTAAGATTCATGTTTAGCGCTTCCTAAATAGACATCTTATCTTTTCTTAATTCTAACTGAATTTCCACATCAGTCCTGATAGATATGGTACATATGATGTTATTTAGCTTATTTTGCATTTTGTGTGTGAAATTGCTACATGGATATTTTCTGTAATTAGAGGGGATTCTATACTCTAGGAAGCTGAAGTAGATTCAGTGTCCTGTTTGAAATTTCAATTCCTTTTATGACAGCATCATTATTTGGTAGTGTAAAAATACTTCTTGCTTATGAGATCATTGTGTAACTGAGATCTCAAAAGGTTTGCAAAAAAATTCTGTATATCTTTCCCACCACACCTTTAAGTAATTGTGCTTTCATAAAAAGTGAAATGGAAAATGAGTTTCTGTAAATTACTTTACCTAATAGTACAAACTGTGATAAGTATACCTACCTTGATTTATTATGTGTAACATTTTCTTCAACACAGGAAGGCTTTATTAAATCATTAAGAAAGGCCTGTATAACAAAATGGAAAAGATATTAATTTAGTTACATTTATTGTATCATTTCTCCAAGATTCCCACTGTCCTGTTTTGGGCTTTCCTCTTCATTTAGCCAAGTCTGTCCAAGTTCATTGCAATGGAGCCAAAAAAATAAATGCTGATCTTTTGTCAACTTCCAGCAGGTAGATTTAAGCATGTAAGAGCCTTTCCCCAGCACCTCTTAGATTCCTCTTAATGTTTTGATTAAGACCAGTAAACTTATCCATTAAGCAAAGCTTGTTGCTAAATTAAGAAACAATAGTCCTTTAGCATATAGCTGTTTTGGTTGAGGACTTAACTGTGGCACCATATTTATTGAGATAGCTCCATTATTAAACATTAAATACGCTATAAATACTGTCACTGAGCAGTGAATAACTGAAGCAACCAAATTAGAAAAGTCCTAGATTCATTCAAAAGTATAGTTTGAGTTAATTGAGCTACAGCAACAAACCACATTTTATCACAGATCTCATTTACAATGAGGCAAAACTGTTTGCTAAGGTTCTGACTCCTCATTAGTATCCCATGATCCTCGTTGGAAGTGTAACGCTGTGGAATAAAATTCCAGGTTTTATTATTATAGTTCCACCTCCCTAGATGATCAACACAGCTGTGATGATACATGCAGAGAGCTCATAAAACATAACCCCATAAATGATTAACTTTATTATTCATTCATGGGATGTGGACTTTGTTAACTGGTCCAGCTTTTTTTGCCCATCCCTAGTTTCCCTTGAGAAGGTGACAGTGAGCTGCCTTCTTGAACTGCTATACTTCATATGCTGTGGTAAGCCCACAAAGCCGTTAGGGAGGGAGTTCCAGAATTTTGAACTAGTGGTACTGAAGGAACAGCAGTATACTTCCAAGTCAGGATGCTGAGAAGCTTGGTGGTGTTCCCATGTATCTGAGGTACTAGGAGCTAGCAAGAACTGCAGATGTTGCTGTCAGAGTCAATACAGTGTGTATGTCAGAGTCAGTCCTGATGAAGGATTCCAATCTGAAACGTCGACTTTCCTGCTCCTCTGATGCTGCCTGACCTGCTGTGTTCCTCTAGCTCCACACTATTTCTGAGGCACTAGTTCTTCTAGATGCTAGTGGATATGGGTTTGAAGGTGCTATTTTAGGAACCTTGGTGGTTCTCTGCATACTGTCTTGTAAGTGGTACACTTTGCTGCTACTGCTGTGTGTCAGTGGTGGAAGGAGTGAATGTTTATGGATATGTTACAAAACTGTTTAGTCCTGGATGGTGTCAAGCTTCTTAAGTATTACTGAAGCTGCAGTCATCCAGACAAATGAAGAGTAGTCCATCACAGTCCTGACTTGTGCCTTGTAAATGGTGGACAGTCTTTGAGGGGTCAAGAGGTGAGTTACTTCCTGCAGGATTCCTAGGCTGTGGCCTGCTCTTGTAGATAAAGTATTTACATGGCTAGTTCAGTTCAGTTTCTGGTCAATGAGAACCTTAGGATGTTGATAGCCTTAGGTTTGTTGTCATAAAAATGGTAAAATGATCCCTTCGTGCTCCAGTGCAAGTTTTTCTGATATAGTCATTGAAATTACAGTCAGTCTTACTTAGCATCAAAACACTGTGGTTCTGATTTAATCACACAGCAACATCAGTGTGTTGAAAGCCTGAACAAGCAATAAGTTTACTTGGTGGGGCCAGGAATGCTTTTATTGCAATTTAAATTCTCTTTTAATTTAAAGCCAATTAAGATTAAGAGAACTTTGATACCAATGAAAGTTAAATACTGAGGGATAGGAACTACTGAATATAGCTGAATAAACTTATTAGCATTAATAGGAAAAATAACTTCACTTTACTGTGGACAGCTTTAAAATTCGTATTCAGCCCAGTAGCAGATTCCTTTGTTGCTAAATTCAGATTCAAAAATTGAAGTTTTCTTCAAAATCTATTACTGGCAATTGAGTAGCTATACCTTGAAACTTATTGCTCATTTCCATCTTCTGCTTTAGTTAAACAATTCAGATTGGTCACTTCCTACCAGTTTTATAGGGCAGGATTGATTCATTACCACTGGATATAATTTCACAAGATGGGTTTGGATTGACATTATTTCTGCATAAATACCTCATTTGGACCTGAATATTGACCAAGCAAAACTCCCGAATCATTCAACCTTCTTCTGCTACCATCCATTCCTTGCCTATCCCTCCTTCACTACAGAAATACAGCAATAGTTGTCCATTCCTGCTTCTCTACTGCTTTGTTAGTTAATTCCTTGACTGTAATAATTTATTCTAATCTTTTCTTTGAAGCTATTTTGTCCATCAACACGTTTCTTCATACTTCATCATCACTCAGCTAAGAGCTGCCTGATGATTCACTTCAGAGCTCCTGTCAAGTACATTCTAGACAGCCATCAGGAGGCGTGTGTGAATGGGGAAGATTAACGACCTCCACTGTCATATCTCCTCACAATTACCAAATCAAGATCAAAATCATGTCAAGAGTTGAAACGCAGGCCTGAACCTGAATTATAAAACTGCTTTATCACACAACCTATTAGCACACAATAATTGATATAATTAATCATTTGGGTCTTAACCGATATTACAATGTTGCTCAATTTCAGTCATTTTCATAACCAATTACTTTCAAGAAATATTTGGATTGCTATTTCAACGAAACCTACCTCAGGTGACATGTCTTTGAAAGCATCTTTAAAACTGTTCTCAGGAGCCCACCTTTGTGGTAGCTGAGTCATTAAAATATTATCAAATGAATCAGTTAAATTGCAGTCATATAGATCCGTGGGAATACTAATGTAGTTATCCATCAGTGGCTGAGATTTAGAAGCCGTAAAGATCGAATCTGACTGGAGCCGATGGGATCTTCTGGTTGGATCAGGGTACTCTGTTGACATGGTGATATCTTCAGGCAAAATTTTCATAGTTTGAACAGAACTGTCCAGAGATGACATGTCATCAAATTCAAATCCATTTCCAGTGTTACTCCTGTAGAAAAGAAACGCACTTGTGAAAAAGGCACTACATCTAGTTTTTCCTCTCATTTTATTAGATTTTTCATTATCACGATGGCTTTCAACTTCAACGAGGAAGACAGTGAATCTCAGTTTGTACCCTTCAGTTGGCTTCCAGTTAGGGAGTAGATCAGTCAATCATTGAGGAGCTAGTTCATAGGACTCCTTCCAATCTAAGAGCAGATTTACATCATGTGACTGGTGCTTACCAGGCAGATGCACAGTTAGAATGGCCTGGTAACTTATCCACTAATTTTTCTGCCACTTATGCGTTAACCCTGATCTTAACCTGATTATTTTTTTAATAAATGGTGGAAGCACCTGCCTGAAGTTGATCTTTAGATTTGCAAATAAACTGCATCATTTTGACACTGGCCTGAAGTGAGGAGGCAGCTGCAGCCTTCCTCCTAAGAGAAGAAGAGATCAGCAAAGACTGCGTAAGGTTTTTGTTTTCACTTTCCTTGATGTGGCATGAATGGAACCCCCTGACTATCATTTCAGAACAGTGCATAAGTGATAAAAAGATAAACCCAAAGAGATGATTGGCATTATATTTGTGGAGACAGGAAGAGCATGTTCCACAAGACTAAACTGGGCCACTACCCCACCACTCCAAAAACTGGATAACAACCATGTTCCACCCACTTACCCACAATACTGTAATAGCCAAAAGGCTGCCTCTAGGGAATTATTTCCCATCAACAGTTTGCCAATCAAATACTAACATAGACCAGGCCACCCACTGGGAATATTTGGGATGTCGCTGTGTAATCTGCCATATGCAATTATCTTCTAATTAGGGAACAGAAGAAGAAGTGACACTTGCCATTTTGGCAATGTTTGGGAAGAGACATTTGCTCGATTCCAACACTGACGCAGGGGAGTCTTTGCCTGCGTTGAAAATGTGAAAAGACCCTGGCTCAATAATCTAAGACCACTTGAGATGGAAAGTTGATTTCAATGTTTGTCCCAAGGGATATTCAGATTAGTATTGTCAAAATGACCAAAATGTAATGTGGCCATCAAGATCTAAAAATATCTCATACCTTTTTGCTAAATTCGATTCGCATGGGCGAGGCACTTTTGCAGGCAGAAGAAATCTTTCCTGCTTTGGGACCTTTAGAAGAAATAACATTACATTTAAAAAAAACACAGAAAATTTCAAAAAAAGGATCAGTCAACAGGATTCAGTTTGATTGCTGATAGTAATTGCAGTATAACAAATAATGTAGGACAATTCGTCAGCGTGTTCATATGAGTTCTTGTAAACGGAGTGAACAGATCTTATCTGACATTTGAGAAAGAGATAATAGTCTAGTTGTGTGGGTTTCTTCAAGTTTCTTGAATTTTGTAATACATTTTATGCTGGTCTCATTATTTCCAATTGCGAGTTCAATTACACATGTCAAATGTGATGTAGGCAAAATGCCTCTCTTTGCTTTCCCATGTTCACATTTCTATCCGCTGAAGTACAGGTGGCAAATAGTCCCATAGCCACCCAAGTTTGCATTTATGTAGACTGCTGAAGTAGCAATGAATTTTTCAGTGGTTCAGTGAACCATTACATACAGCAACTTATTACTGCAGCACGGAAACAGGACATTCAGCCCAAACAGTCCAAAACTGGTTTCTGCTCCACTTCAGCCTTGCCCATCTTATGAATTCGAAGTTTCTTCACATTTTATGCTCCAATTGAGCCTTACCCATTCTATAAATTAGAAGTTTGTCCATCTTTGACTTCAGTACCAACTGTTAATATGACAAATATTGAACTGTATCTTAAATTAAGCAAAATTTTATTTGGCAAAAAAAACGATCTTCTTGCTCATGGCATCTCAGATCTTCTGCCTTTTTTTAATACATTCACAGGATATGGACATCACTGGCTAGGCCAACGCTTATTGCTTGTCACTCAGTACCTTTTAGAAGGTGCTAGTGAGCTGCCCTTTTGAATTGCTGCAGTCCATTTGGTGTAGATAAACCCACAATGCTGTTGGGAGGACAGTTCCAGGATTTTGACCCAGTGACAGTGAATGAACACCAAAATATGCCCAGGTGTGGATGGTGAGTGGCTTGGAAAGGATCCATCGTGGGTTTGGATAATGCTGACTAAGGAGCCTTGATGAATTTCGGCAGTGCATCTTGTAGATGGTAAGCATTGCTGCTACTGAGCATCAGTGATGAAAGAAATGAATGTTTGTGGATGTGGTGCAAGTTAAGAACTGGTTTGTCCTGGATAGTGTAAAACATTTTGTGCATTGTTGGACTGTACTCATCTGATCAAACGAGGAATATTCCATCACATCGCTGACTTGTGTCTTGTAATTGGTGATGGGCTTTGGGGAGTCAGGAGGTGATTTACTATTGTAGGATTCCTTGCCTCTAAACTGCTCTTGCAAACCTCC